ATATATATATATATATATATATATATATATATAAATGTAGATGTAAACAGAAACAATGGTATGAATGTATGCATAACTACGAATATAAATACAAGTACAGGTAGAAACAAAACTCAGAAATGACTATGAAGTATGAGTATAAATATAATTTTGAATATAAATATAAATATAAATATAAATACAAATATAAATATAATTATAATTATAAATATAGATATATAACGCGTATATAGTATACTTATATATGCATTTAGTTGCTTAGTTGCTTATTTTATTTACTTACTTACAAAGTTTATATTTTATTTATTTATATTATATACAATGTATATATATGCATTTATGCATTTCCTTATGTGAGTAAACTGTGTACGGTGTGTTGGGTACTGTACATCTGTGCGGGAAATCCTCGTGAAAACTATGGCTAATGAATCCAGAACCACCGTGAGAGAGCGAATCGTTAAGATATGCTTGTGCGCTCCTCTCCGGTTCAGTTGGTGAATCTTCTAGCAAATCGCAAAAACTTTAGCTCACCGATTTCTTGACGAACCGATTTCTGCCATAACTTCCTGCTCAAAATAATAACCTGGTCAAATGATTGTTACAGCCTTTTCACTTTCGTTCTTCCACGTAACACATTCCACAAGTCTTTTGTAACGGCGGTTTATTTTCTTGTATCTCCTGGCGTAGATCTCTGCGTTTAAGGACCCCTAAACAAAGCTTTTCCAGGTTGGAATTACCTCCAGGCACTTCCCTTTCGTCTGCACACCCTTTGCACAGACTGAGTACTTTTATTCGATCCAAAGCTGTGGCGTGCTTATCTGCACTTGCAATCGGAGCCGATATACAAGTCAAGCATAAAGAAACGTGGAAATAATTAAGCAACATGCTGCTTGAAATTTTATGCCTGCTTTGAACCTTTTTTCCGTTATCCACTGAGAACCACCCACAAAAAAACCACAACCTTCCGCTGACCTACAGCATCGCCTGTATCAAAATGTAGTGCCCTTCTTCTCCGCGTATGACGCGTACCCTCAAAAATCTAGCAAAAGCTATTTATAATACAGCGATGAAGCGTTTTTTTCACTAATTCTAGCTTTTTTAAGAAACCATTTCCTTGAATCTTACGCCCGTCACTGTACAAATCTACATATCTAATTGGCTATCCGTCAATATATAC